TTTTCATATCTCTATTGATGGAAACCTCTCCATGCTACTGCCTAATAGTGCAGTTTTAGTTCGATGTCTTACGAGTCAAAATCATCCATCGGCATACCATCTCCCAAAAGGGTCGTGGTCATTCAAAAGAATGACACCTGGAAAACTTACTTTCCATCGTGTCCCTGGTGTTTACTTCTTTACCATTCAACTTGATATCCTATGTGAATGCCAAAGAGGGGCAACTGTAGACATCCCCTAGATATTATGGCTAAGAGAACTTCTAGAATCTTTATTTTGAGTCCTAAGGACCACACTAACCTTAGCAGACAGTAGCATACCTAAACTCAGTAAAATTATCCCACAATCACCTGAAACCTATCATAGATCAAAGTAGACCCCGTAAGCTTTCCAATGGTCCAAGAATAACATGTTTTACTGAACCTTTTCATCTCTTGTGGTCATACACTGAATATAAAATTTATTTATTTTGATATCTTGAGCATGCATGTTCAATCTTGGTGCATGATCTTGTTCATTGCTACTGTCTTGGCTTGTGTGTCATTTTCATCGCAACTTTGTAATGAGAACATTCATAATTTTCATTTTCTGTCATAATTGATTGATTTTTCCATTCCAAGACTGTGTCATAATTCTTTTTCATGCTGAATTTATGTATTTCCATGCTTTGGAAAATTTTGAGTATGTTGAACATTTTTTCTATCTTGTGAAAATATGCTTCTTGATATTTTTTAATGTGGTAATTCGTATGGTGAAGCCTCAATCATCATTGTGACCCTTAAAATGAGTTTAGGCCTGGACACGCTGTGTATTGTGCAACTCCTATATATCGCATCGATATGGTACGGACGGGAGGAAGATAAAGTGAAAAAAAAAAAACTTGAGGAAGCCCAAAGATTAAAAAAGAAAAAGAAAAACAAGAGGGGCAAGGGTCCAGTGGACCACAACCCATTAAAAAAAAAAAATAAGAAGAAGAAGAAAACCTATAAAAGGGAGGTTGCGGCCAAATTTTCACTGGACTCAGAAAAATATGGAAAATTTGAGAAAATAATGAGAAATGAAAGATTTAATACTTGGAAGATAGTGAAATCAGCTTCAAAATATGCCCGGAACAGTCAAAGAACCCTTCATTGTGTCCAACACATCTAAAGCTTGATTCGTAAGACTAAATCAGCTTCAAAATATGCTTAGAACAGTCAGAGAACCCTTCATTGTGTCCAACACATCTAAGAAGAATCAGAAGTTTCAAGATGCCCTTCATCAATCATCTTCAGAGTCAAAGAACTCCAAAAGTGACACGAGCAGAAATAGCTTACCAATCTAGTTGAAAGACATCCAACCCATACGACGTGAAATAGTTGGGAAATCTCAATTAAAATGTCAAAATCGTGAGACATAAACGAGCCGAGACAATAAGACGTAAAACCCATGCGACGAAAAAGAGTTGCGGCAGGTAGAAGAAAGGTCCATCACTGCATGAAATAAACTTGCTCATAGGGTTCAATGGTTGCACGAGCTTAATACGCTGACCAAAATCAAATGCTCTCAAAATTCTCACTCGTTTTCAAAATTTCCCCTACATGTCCTATGAAGTTTTCATAAATATTAATTTCTTCGTTTAAAAAGTAGCACGAAACTCTATAACTCATTCAAAATCCTACCAATCTTTAAAACCTTTTAGAATATTTGAATAAACGAAAGAGTTTCGAGGAGTCTTGGACATGATGTTTCCACAACCACTAGATCTTGGATGCCATGCCGCAAATCCTTAGGAAGAAAACGCAAAGGTTGCCAAAACTCAAGCCTTAACCCGTAATTCAAATAATTAAACTCAAGACCGAACAAAAGTTCAATTAGCTAGTAATTCATTAGGATCATCCTTTTTTGTAAATCAAAATCCCATTCAATTGAAAACTAGACCCTAAGAAAAAGCTCTAAAGTCGAAGATGAATACACTGAAATCCTAGGTAGCATTTAGGTGATTTCAGCAAGGAGTGTCACCAGCTCAAATATAGCACAGTTCCTGTTGATTTTCATTTTATATCTCGATTGATGGAAACCTCTCAATGCTACTGCCTAATATTGCAGTTTTAGTTCGATGTCTTACGAATCAAAATCATCCATTGGCATACCATCTCCCCAAAGGGTCGTGGTCATTCAAAAGAATGGCACCTTAAAAAACTTACTTTCCATCGTGTCCCAGATGTTTACTTCTTTACCATTCAACTTGATACCCTATGTGAATGCCAAAGTGGAGCAACTGTCGACTTCCCTTGGATATTATGGCTAAGAGAACTTCTAGAATCTTTATTTTGAGTCTTAAAGACCACACTAACCTTAGCAGACTGTAGTATACCTAAACCTAGTAATATTATCCCACAATCACCTGAAACCTATTATAGATCAAAGTAGACCCCGTAAGCTTTTCAATGGTCCATGAATAACATAAATCGGACCTCAGAGCCAAGTTGGATGCTTTGAACGGATCCGGGGACAACAGACCAAAATGCCCCTACTCGGGGTGTGTGCACCACATGGTGCGTCGGGGCACACGAGGTGGGCTGTCTCGCGCACACTATTACTGCAGGCCTATTAGCAAAAGATTTGATCCATATTTATCGATTTTTCTAAAAACAACACCAATAATGTACACTTCCTTGCGTACACTAAACTCGGTACTAACTCATCTCGCTCATGGGGCGAGGCTGAGTAACTCGGTCTAGTCCTAGTGGAATCGGCCAAGTTCTGTGGAATGTTGGTGCCTTGTGTGTGTAAGAGACGGTGGTGGTGGGTTTATTATTATTTATCATGGGAGGTGGTGGGATTCACGTGCGAGATTGAGAGTGAGGTAGGTTAACTAACCCATTCAAACCGGCTCAAAAAACTGGGACCTACACCTCAAACTGTGGTCTAAGGGCCTGTCATGCCTACAGTCCTAGTTGGGTCAGCCCAGTTCGGCCCAGCCCGATCCTTTCTCAGTATAGTTTTGCTTTTGTTTCCTTTTCTTCCTATTGGCCCTGTTGGGTAGGCCCTTTTCTTTCCATGTTTTTCTTTTGCTATTCTTTTATTCTTTTTGGCCCAACCGGACCTTGATTGGACCGAGGTCTCTTTGGCCCTGTTAAGGCTGGGCCAAGCTTGTGCTGAACCTATGGGGATCTTGGCCACTGTGCCCCATCCATGCCCTGCTCATTGTCAATTCAAAAGTCTAGAGTTAGGGAGAGAACTGTGAAAATTGCTTGTTAACTACATACAAAGTTTGTGAGGAGGGGAGGAATTTTGCTCCCCTTCTCTTATCCCTTCACTGAAAGCCAATGCGACCCACGCCATGGATCCAGTACCCAAAGTCCTCGAGACAACGAAAGAGAAAAGACCTTTTATTTGGTGCAATGTGAATCAACATGGGGCCGAGGTGAAGGATAAAAGCAAAGCCCCTCTCTAATAAGATAAAAGGGAAGACAAAGGATGCACATTTAAGTAGGGTCTACGTGTGACTTAGAGAGATAAAAATAAAGGAGAGGAGAGAGAAAGTGTGGGTCATTGAGTATGACAGGGTGGGTGGTGTTATTGTGGGGAGAGAAAGAGAGGAGGTTTGGGGGTTTACTTAGGAGAGGGGGTGAAGCCATTAATGGAGAGAGAGGTGGGATTATTAAGAGAGAGATAGAGGGGGATTATTGAGAAGAATGGGTGAATTATTTGAGAGTAGAGAGAGATTGGGTAGGGTTATTTAGATAGAGAGTTGACTAATTTTTTTTTTTTAATATGTTACTATAGCTGTTTCCGTTTCTTTTCGGCTTTAACATGTTTGTTGGGGAGCAAGCTACACTAAAACCATAAAAATGATTGACACTAGTTTACAGAGTTTACCATACAAACAGGGAAATTAGGGTGGCTTTAATGAGCAACATAGACCTAGAACAATATTGATTAAACAAGAAGGGCTATGGTCCAAATGAGATGGATGGGAGTAATACGAAGAGATATGATCACACCTATAGTTGGATTGAGAGCATGACCTTTGATATAGTAGAATGGCAAAACATGATTCGTATATTTACCTTAAATAATTAAAATAAGGTTTGAATGATAATGACTTTTCAAAACAAAGAAATCCAAAGTATTCGCTAGGATGTGAGTTTCATAGAAAGAGAGAGAATTTTTCTAACCCTATCTCAAACTTTGTCCAAGGGTTGATGTGAGGCAATTGAGCAGAAATTGAAAAAGAAGGAGCGTGACATTGTTATGACTCCTAACTTAGAAAAAGAAAAGAGAAAGGGGGGATATAGGGAGAGAGAGAGGGCTAGTGGGGGGGTAAAAATATACAAGGTTGGATGGAAAGAAGGGTTAGAATTTAAGGATTGTATACAAAGAGATCATTTATCTTTTATATAAGGTGGTCATGGTTATATACAATCATCTTATTTGAAATCTAATAGTTTAGGTATGATACAAAGTTTAAAAAAATTTATTTTAAAATTTGAGTTTGATCAATAAAATAAAATACATCCATTTAATTTTATATTTAATGATCAAAATTAATTGTGACCATCTTATACAAAAAAAATAAATAGTACATTTTCTCTAAAGTTTAAGATATTAAGAGAGAAGAAGGGTATGTTTGTTGGATGGTAGAGAGAGCCGGTGGGCTTTTTATTAAGAGAGAGAAAAAGATTGGTTAAATTTGTGGAGTACCGCAAATAAAATCAATGCGACCTTGGCGTGAGGCCGATAACATCTTTCCCACGCGCAAATAAGTGCGAAGAAATGCGCCGTGGCGCCGGCAACCCATCCCCCGTCTTTCTTTCTCTCTCTACTTTGTCTCTCCGGTCGCATTTATTGGGAAACGGGCGACGTCAGGGGGCGCCCCATTGGTCAGCGGACCCTATTGCAATGCTATTCTTATTGCTAGCTATGCCTCCTGCCATTTTGTGAGTGAGGAGAGAGAAACAAATGCGTTTCTCTCACATTCCCCCCCTCTCTCTCTTCTCTTCTCTCCTCTCCTCTCCCCTTCCTTACAACAACGCAAAGAGAGAGAGGAAGCATTTGCATGTGTGAGAGGAGGGAGGAGAGAGAAAGCAGGTGGGGTTTCACCTTTTGGGGCTCAGAGACTCGGGGTAACGAAGAAGGCGTAACCCCCCTGAAGGAGACTGGGTCTCGACCATTAAATCTACCGATCGATACATTTTTCCTCCCTCTGCAATCAAAATCCTTAGGTTGATTGTTCTTTGATCGATCGATTGGGTTTTTCCGGTATGTTTCCCCCGTTTCTTCTCGTTTTGTTTTGCAGATTTGTTCTCTGGTTCCCATTTGGTCTCAGAAAAAATGGATAAAGATTGTAGCTTTGATAGACTTTCGATTTTCTTAGCCTCTATTGTTTTTCTTTTTGTTTTGATGAGGTTGTTTCCATGGAGATCTTTTGAACATTATTGGTTCTTGGGTTTTGATGTTTCTTGCACTGGTAGGGGTTTTGGGTCTTTAGGTTTCTTCTCCCTTCTGGAAAGCTGGGTTTTTTCTTCGTCTATAAAAAAACAGCTGGGTCTTTTTGTTCTTTAATTTTTCCCCCTTGTTCAGTAGTTTGCCTTGTTTCTTTCTCGTCTACTCGTTTTCCCGATTGAAATGGGGTATGGATAAGACCCCTGGAAAGCTGTATCGGAAGTTCTAGCTGTATGTTATGGTTCTCAGTGATCAATTTATCATCTTCCCATGCTATCGATTATCTGGGTATTTTTCCTTGGATTTCTTTGCTGTTTTTGTTGTTGAGGCTAACAAACCTGATGTGGGCTTTGTTAGATTGCCAAGGGGAGTGGATACAGTTAGTGTTTATGGTCAGATGTTTCAGTTTTCACTGCCGTTCACAAAAATGCTTATCTTTTTCATCAGGAAAAGGTCCCAATGCTATTTTTTAGTGAGATGCGTGCATTTCTTCTCTGGATGACTGTTGGTGTTGTTTGTCGGTTGGAGAGGCTTTTCATGCTTTTACGTTTTGAGTAGATGGGATTTGGGCCAGAAATAGTGTTTTTCTTATCCTCAAGTCTGCATGTTTCTCTAATCATCTGGGCCATCTAGTTTCCTGGTGTTGTTGTCTCTTTGAGGATAACTTGAAAAAAAAATGATTGGCTGTTCTTTTTCCGAATCAAGGCTGTTTGGCTAGGATTTTTAGCCATCATTTACTTTCTTTTGTGTGAGTAAAATCTGAAGTTTTGATCAAAATATCCAAATCATCTAATCAGTGTCATGGATCATCAATAAGCTGGAAGATAATAACAGAAGGGTGGAGCACGGGGTTTCATTGGGTTAACACTTTTAAGCTCTTGATTAGTAGTACAAAAGAGTGCCATGCCTGTCATGTTACCTTCATGATAGCTGGGCATTGCCAATTCTGTCACAAGTGTGGTCTCTCTTATTTCTTGCATTCGATTACACGAAATTGGTACTTCTAATATTTTAAGATGTACAATAAGATTAAACGATCCAAAGTAAACATATTTCTACAATTTGAATGGTCTTTTTTATATTGGCAGTTTACATGCAAGGCGGTATTAATCTTTTCATTAGTTGATTGATCTTACATTTGCCTAATTTCTAACATATGCCAGACAATGTGCAGTCAACATTAAAAAATTTAATATTTTGCACTGCTGAATTTTTTTCTTTCTCGTTGCTTATTCTTCAGCGTGCTGATTTTGATTATTGAGTGTTTCATTATGTTATTATTTGGAAATCGATATCATAGAGCTATTGAATGAGTTGGATAGATCTGATGTAGTTAAAGTCTTTAAGCTATGAGGAAACTTCAGAGTATCTTTCAGCGAATATTTATTTGAAGTTGCACTGGATGAATGCTTGGGAATGGGAGCTCAATGGATAAATAATTTCTTTAGGGTTATTGATAAGGTTACATTTTAGCATTGATTAGATTGATTCATGCTTTTTAGAAAATTGCATTATCTTGATGCTTTTCATGGTGATTGGGAGGGTGGAATCTTACTTGCATTTCTAGCAGTTTACAAGCAGGGAAGGTGGTGACTGAGTCAGATCCCATACGTGGTCTGGATTAATCACCTTACATAACTGCTTCAAAACCTTATGAACAATGGTGAGCTGAAAAGGAGAAAGTAGATCTCCTTGCCTGAGGCCTTGAGGGGTCTCGAGAAAACCTTTTGGGGAATAACCAGAATGACAAACACTCTCTCATCGATCTAATTGATGAATTTCCCAAACAGACACACGCTCATAGAGATCAGGGTTGTAATTTGAATCAGCTTGGAATCAACCCAAACGATTTTTGGGTGAAAACTTATGTCCTTTGAAAGCTTAACAGTTCTTCTCAAAGGCTCGACCTGGGGTTTCTTCTCAAGAACTTCACTTGAGCCAAAACCCCATTTTTTTTCTTGGCAGGTTGCGAAATAGGTTTCTTTTCCCGTAGTTCAGTGGTAAGATTTGAACTTGGTATGTGGTGTTGCAATTGTCAACAATTTATCCACTCAACCTGTTGCCAGTAACAGGGTTTTTATTGGGTTTTTATAGTGCGCATATATATATATATATATGTATAGATATATATGTTTAACTTTAAAAATTGGTTCTCTCAAATATTTAAATAAAAATAAAAAGGTTTCATAAGAGTGTGACATTTAAGACTCTGGTTTGCACTATGAAGCCCTGAAACTAGTCTGTGCAGGTAGAGAAGAATGAAAAAATCATAGTAAATATATAGATGCCTGAAAGTTGAGTTAACTTTCAACAGTGATTTGCCAGGAAGCAGTTAAAGTGAACTGCAAGAAAGGAACCAGTAGAAGACTTTGAGTTTTTTCTTTTTCCCATTGTATTATTTTGGTTTGAGCTGGGGATTCATTCATGCCATTGCCTCATAAAAGAGCAGGAATGAAACATCTAGGAATTATGGGCCATTAAAGTGCCTGGGAATTTACATATACTTATATCCAAATTCTGTTTTGGTTCTAAGTGCTTGGGAGTTTACATATACTTCTATCCAAAGTTCTGTCTTGGTTCATTAAAGAATACTGTCTATCATTATACAAAGAAAGAGTACTCCTTCTTGTGTCAGTATTATGTGATTACTCTTAGTTATATTTATCCCTTTAGGAATCATGGTTTTTTTTCTGAAAGATTTGGAACTCTTCCAAATGGGTAAGCATGAGCTATTAACTAAAATAATAAATAGTATCCTTATATCTAATATAAAAGGCACCATAAAATCACAAGAATATATCTTTTGAACCTTTTAATCAAATAAACAAAAAATAAATAGAATAAATCCAAAATAGTTAGTTCACTTAATTATGTTGCACCCTTATAATTTCTGGATGTGCTAAACTCCTTTTAAATGTGATGGTTACATCATCAACATTATCATCACTATAGTAGGGAAGCCATGAATGACATTTTTGTCACCATGAAGATGAATGGTTTTCTGCTGAAATTTAGTTATGAGTGGGTTATTGTATTCACTTGCCCTAACATACACTCCGGTTCTTCTTCAACTCAATTCTATGCTAAGGTGACTTCTTCAACACATTTTTGTCACTATGAAGATGAATGGGTTTTTCTGTTGAAATTTAGTTATGAGTGGGTTATTATATTCATTTGCCCTAACATACACTCCGGTTCTTCTTCAACTCATTCTATGCTAAGGTAACTTCCTCAGTTCACTTTGGGGATCGAACGTCTTTGTTGCATGCAATGAAAAAATGCTTGTAGGTGGTTAACTATTAGGTTTTGTGTTCTATTTAATTTTTCTATGTGTGAGATATTTCATTTTCCCCCTGGAGTATACATCTCACTACTTTGAAGTTGTGAATGAAATAAAAAGTTGGCTTGCTTATAATTCCACGAGGAGAATGTGATGCTGGAAGGTGCACTAGAAAGGAAGTTGAGAATATTTGAGGATTTGAATAACTTGTAGAAGCAGAATAAGGGGTGGGACTATAGTTACCCGAATCACCCACTGGGGTAGCGATTCCATTTCGGAATCTCGATTCCGCATTTCCCAAGATGAAACTCGATTCTGAAATAAAGGAATCACGTTTCCAAGTTTTTCAAAATGTGATTCAATTTAGTTTATGAATCTTTGTTCTTGGAAGCCTGGAATCAAGATTCCATATCGCATACTTTGTTATTCTTAGCTACACTACAATGCGATTCTACTTGTGTGAAACATCTATTCCAAATTTTTAGGAATTGTGAATCCATGTTGTTTGCAATCAAGATTTTATATCGCAGACATTGTGATTCTTAGCTACACAACAACTCGAATTTACTTATGCGAAACGTTGGTTCCAATTTTTTTGGAATTGCGAATCCATGTTGTTTATTTCAAATTTTTAGGAATTTTTATCCTTGTATTTGAATTCCATGTTACTTTTTAACAACTCTTACCAAGAATAAATATTACTAAAAAAAAATTGTTACTTCGAATTTAATAAGTTTTAGTAAATGATGTGGGTACTAATGTAATATTGTTTAACATATGATGGGTACCAAGATATGCTACCACTGATTTTCTTCAAGTAGAATAAGAGGATAAGAATATGACTGAAGTGCCCTATGGTGTTTTAGGTTAAATTAATCATTAAATATAAGAAATTGACTTAAAATTGAATGACTCAATTTTCAAAAGTCAAAACTACATTTAACAAAGAAGAATTTCTATGTCATCTGCTTATTTTATAATTCAAGGAAAGGAGATAGAGGGACATCGCCCTTGTTCTCACTAGTTGTATGTCATAGACTAGCTCCATGCCTTGTAGGAGAATGGTTGTTGGTAGATCGAGTCCATTGTATGAGATTGTTGACAAAATTATCATAAATGTTGACATTGGTAATTGGACTAAATATTTACAAACCAAAATTCAATCTTGTAATAATAATAAAATTATAATATTTTTTGAGTACTTTTCTCATATACCATAGGGGATTGGTGCACAATTCCAGTATGGGGAGAATCTCGATTCTTGAATGGTGAGAATCTTGATTCCAAGTTGATGGGGACAACGATTCCAAAATTTTAGGAATCAAGATTCTATATTTTTAGGAATCACAATTCCAATCTAATCGGATCGCGATTCCAGGATCCACTGAATTATGTGGAGTCAGGTGTGATTCCATGTACGTATGAAACTCGAATCCAACATGAAGGAACATCGATTCTTATAAATAGGAAACACAATTCCTATTTTATTGGATTGCAATTCCAATGTAGTGCGAATCAAGATTTGTAATTCCGAATC